TCCTGAGCAAAGAAATGATCACAACGGGAGAGCAGAGAAGACACCAGGGTGAAGTGAGGAAAAGGAAGGGAGGTACGATTATAGGCAGATGCAAGGTCGAACACTGAAATACAGTATAAGTTGAAAAGTAAAAAATAACTTTTATAAACTGCAAAAGATGAAAAATACATTGTTTTAATAATAAATCAACTAAAGTGAGCTGTGAATTGTGCAACTGCTGACATTTCTATAGTGGATATTTATTCTTCTTGTTTGACAGGATCAGTTTATTAAGTAAAATCAAACTGAGTTTTCACGCGAGCTAATTTAAAGGAACAGGGCTTTGTTTCCAGTCAGATTTGCTCTGCTCGTGCAACAGTTTGAGTCATGGCGGTAAATTGTGCCCTGACTAAAAGTTAATTTAAATTTACTGACATTCAAAAGTCTTAATCACAAAGCGATGGATCACTTTCCAATGATTAACTTCCCAGTGCAGTAAAATGCAACTTTGTTATTTGGTTTTGTTCACGGTTGACTCTGTTGGCTAATGAAAGACCTCATGATAAAGTGTAAAACTTGAGAAGAGAAGAAAATGAGTGAAATTATTGATGCAGGCAGTGAAAGTAGAGGTGACAGATGAGTGCGGCAATAGAGCAAAGAGGGAAAAAAAGTGACACGTCGAGGAGAGAGATGAAACAAAAAATCTGAAGTTCAGCGAGGTGGATTCTCTAAAGAAGAATAAAAAAAGCCTTCAGTAGAAAAGAAGAGAAGTATTTTCCCCAGAGGAAGGCTGGCAGCTTGGAGAGAACGAGAAGTTGAAATGTAAAAGCATGACAATTCAAAATTCTCTCACACAATTATTTTTGGTGCAGTTGTCAAACCCTGAAGTGTTTACTTAGGAATGTTAAATTGTTAGGGGGGCACGCCACATCAGTGAGACAGTTTTGCTCTAAACAAGACCCCCTTGATCAGCCTTARGGGTGCTGTAGAAAGCCTGATTTGAACTAGAACAGAAGGTGGTAAAGCTGGAGCCATGCAGCTGTTTTATATGGAAGCTGGGGGAGGCTTATTGGTGTCTTGTTTCATGCATTTAGCTCTTTAAAGCTTTGAATTTTTTAAAGTTTTGTTTAAGTCTTGCATCGATGTAAATCATGTAAGCAGTGCTACTTGAAATCAAGACCACTTTTTGATGGTCTCTGTCTCGTCTCAGTCTTGTCTCGGTCACAGACATTGAGGACTCAGGATTTTATTTCAAGACCAGTCAAGACAACAACTGTGGAAATATCATTAATTGCCAGAATATTATTATATTTGTGAACATCCTTGCTTTCACTGGATATAAAACATACTGATTCAAATCCAAGAGTGACTYATGTATTTTTGTTGCAGCTGTTACCCATCCCCTTTCACTCACACGCTGCACTCCAAGTAAGCAGTAGTTTTCTGGGTGCGGGAGATGTCTGCAGAATCTTCAGTAATGCARTTYGGCTACATAAATCATAAAGAATATATYTGTAAAACAACATCCAGGAGAAAGCRAACTGTGACTTTTAAATTTTGCAGTGCTTCGCTTTTAGAGACGGTGGGGACAATGTCAAACTTTTATTGTCACTTAAAAAAGGAAGCAAAAAGAAAGGTAATTTATATGTAAGTGATGTTAGCAAAGCTAGCTAATGTTAGCTGTCTGCCTTTGTCCAACATTTTTTACCCAGCCCTCACACAAAGAGGTTTAGTCATTAGCTATACATATTAAGTTAGCTACCTGTGTACAGTGTATGTTTTAGGGTTTTTGAATTGTTTCTTGTTGTTTTTTTTTTTTTTTCTCAGTCTCAGTCTTGGTTTTGACTCTGTCCAGCCCATAAAAATATTGGTATTGTCTCAGTCTGGATACACTCTGGCCTTGGTCTTAACTTTGTCTCAGATTTGGTGGTCTTGACTACAACACGACATGTAGGTCTATGTAACTTATGCAGGACAAAAGCTGTTATCCGGTGGAATCAATGGGTATCAAAATAAAGCACATCCGTACATCCAAATACATTTTTGTTGAGCTCATTCCATTAAAAACAAAACAAAATTTAACATGTTTTGGAGCAAAATTCTACACATTCCATAAAGAGTTGATGCAAACAAATGAAAACGCACCTTGTTTATGAAAAAAGAAAACCTCCATCCAAAATGTTCATTTTGGTTTTTAGACAAAACGCCTTCTTGGTTTTAGGATTTGGACTTCTTTTTTAAACTTTGTCAGTTCAGCTGTGAGACTGACTCCACATTTTGCTAAAAGGCAATCAATATTTGCCTCCCACACAGTCTTCATATTCTACAAACAGCAGTAGGCAACAAAGCTTCAGTCCCATACTGAACAAGCAAAGTCAAAAAATACTTCGACATTGAGCAGTCTTTAAACATCAAAGACTTGTGCTGCATTGCAGCTCCCTCTGTCTAAGTACTTGCTTTTTCCCTCATCTTAATCTTGGCATTTTGGATTTGAGTTTTATTTCCTTGTTCTTGTGGGTGTATTCTAACATCAACTTTACTTTGATTCACTGGAGCTGTTATAGATCCTTGTCACTGACATATTAAAAACCTTTCACTGTTGAATCTGTTAGCCTTATAGGTTCTAAGATTTGCAACAATAATCTTAAACCCCTTGAGATATTGCTCTCCAATAATTTCTAGTTATGGAGGCAAATACTGCTTAAAGGCAGGTGAAGTTACAGGAAACTACCACTCAAAGTTTTCTGATCRTCAGCAGTAAAGTATTAGACGGAGCAGTGATTCAGCTGTGTTCTGATTGTTGTTGACGGTACTGCTCAGGGTGTGTTTTCCTTTTTTGTAGCATGTTCCTGGCAGCTCGGAGTTCTTAGTTATTACGCAATATAACATGGGTTAAATGTGGAGGTCAGACACTTGAAAGTGAAAATAATTTAAAAAARSYWAAWKGAAAACCTTGCACACTTACATCTTGTACCTTAATACGAAAAGAAGCTCACACAATCTTCAGCTGTGTTTTATTCTTGAATCCACTTACAGTAATGGGTTTTTTATAAGTAGTTACCTTTGGAATCTCAGTTGAGGCCTTTCTGTGAGGAGTTTTCATATCACAAGCATGCATGTGTGTGTTTTCTTCAAGTTCTCCAAGATTTTCTTCACCTGCTCCAAAAGCATGAACGTAACACTAATTGGTCATTTTAAAATGACCTTGGGGGAGAATGTTTGTGTCATGTGTTTGTTAGTTTTGTGATTAACTGGCTGTTCAAAACATCCTGGTGCTTCAGCATCTGCAGAGCTGAAAAGGACAAAATGTGGTTGATGGATGGACAGTTGTTTCCTTTAGGGCTGGGCAATAAATCAATAACAATTGGAATAGACACACGATTATTGTCAATAGAAAATTCCTCCAATAGAAGGTTGATAATTTTTGAGGAACTCTGATCAGAACTGCAATGCATTCTGGGGGATGTAGGCAGAGGAAAGTCTTAAGCAGCTCAGCTAAGCGAGGTTGCTGGCATCAACTAACTCACTCACTCTTTGCTGGCAACAACCATGCGCAGTAGCAGTTTCATGTTCCACCACCGTGCCTCATAACAGTTTAAAGAAATTTAAAAAAATAAAAAAAACTTATGTCCTATCTGTCCCAGAAAGTTTGAGGATGGTCAACATGTAGTTTTAATGATTTGTCAACCTTCTATGATTCAAAATGTGACTTATGATGTGATGTGAAAGTGACTTACCACAACCTTGGAGTTCAGCTTAACCAGTTTTAGATGCTTTTCTTGACTTTTCTCTACTAACCACTTCTCTTTCTGATTAACCTTCAGATGCATTTCCTCCTATGTTCACATCCTGGGAGGTTGGCTACAGTTCCTACTTTAAACTGGCTACTTTATACTTTCTAATAATCTGGGCAGCTGTAGTCATAGGAACATGTATTGATTACGCATGCCGTCTCAACATTTGAAGCAGAACAAGATTTTCTGACTAATAAGTCTTTATTTACATGGCTGGGCAGAACAGCTTGCCACTAATATTTCAGTTTTTTCATCTAAGCCCTGAAGGGAGCCTAGAGGAGTTTGATGTAACTCTGCAAGGGGAACTGAAGGATAGTGCAGGGCTTCTGGTCCCATAGTCATTAGGCTGCCTCTGCGCCCACCCCCTCCGCCCCCCCGTGTGCACTCATCATCCTCTGCTGTCTCACAGAGGTCTCTTCCCCAGTCCAGGAGGTCCTTCTCTTTTCCCTCTGCTGGGTGTTCTGTTTTTGCCTCGTGCACGCTGGATAAATGCTGTCCTCTGCAGGCTCTTCTGTCTCTGTCTTTCTCCCTCCACCTCTTTCTGACCCTTCCAGTATGCCTCTCAGATGAGTGATGGTCCCTCTCCATCCCCAGGCACAGTCAGCTCTAATAAAAAAGAATATACTCATATTACTCTCTGGACAATGAAGTCCCAAGGGCCAGTATGTAAGAATAAAGAATAGACGAAGGAATGGAGAGTAGGTGGAGTAGGATAGATGTAAGAACATAGAGTGGAAAGGGTAAAAGTTGAAGTAACATGACAGGAAATGAGTCGAGACRTTAACAAGTGGAAGAATTGGTAGGAAGAAAGGAAGAGCTTAAGAAAGTACATGAAAAAATGAGGTCAGAAACAGCACAGGGGGATCCTGCCTACATGTTCTTTGACGGTTCTGAATATTTGTCGGCAYAATTTCTGTCTTATTTAACCGAAGGCTCAGTTTGTCGTTGTAAACAAATAATCTCACTCATAATCCTCCCAAAACATGAAGTTGTTCATTCAACACTTCCTGGTAAAAAAGATGCAGAATGCTATATTAATTATAGAAACTTGAAGTGGCTTGGAGGTAGGTTTGAATTTTTTACAGAGTTGGACTCATCGTTCTCTTTTTCCAGTTTAGCTGTGGGCACAGCTCAAACACTGAGCAAATGTTCCACTTTTCTGTCAAACTATTCCTTCAAGAGATTTCTCACTTCTCCCACTGTTTCTTTGTGTCTCTTTTGCTYCAGTGTGAAGATGGTTCTTCTCTGGACGGCTGGAGACGTCTTCAAAACCACCTACTTCATAATGAATGAAAGCCCGGCTCAGTTCTGGGCGTGCGGCTCAGTTCAAATCCTTATCGACGTGGCCATCCTGCTCCAGGTGCTGTTTTACAGCCGAGACACTCGGGTCAAGCTGGGTTAGCGTTGCTGTTGTGTCGAGCGTCATAAATCCAGCTTTTCAATCAGCAAGACCTTTAACAAGATCTGAAACCAAAGTCACTCATTATCTTTTTTTAGCATTTAGTTTGGTAATGTCCAGAGATCCCAAAGTGATATTCAACCAGAAAAATTATCTTTGAACAAACTGAAGATTTTAGGAAAGCTTAAATAACTAAATCTTTCAGCAGTGGGTATGGTTATATAAAACATTTAGGTGCATTCTTACTTATTTTTCTGCTGTGTGTCTGCCRTCTTTGGATGATTATGTGATCTCTTGAGTTGCAGTGGATTTTCAGTGGACTTTCAGACTGTGAGGAGAAAGATAACTCACATTGGCAGCTCAGTAACAGCAGATCTGTGCTGCTGTAAAGGCAACTGTTACAACCAGTTCTACACCGGAAMCACAACACCGGACTCCACTGCCTAACTGATGATGCTTGCACTTCACACTCCTCTCTCCTCTGGGCTGTTCTTGTGATACATAATGTGTGTGTGTGTGTGTGTTTGCGTGGCTGCGGGCTTGCGCACGTGTGTCGGCGTTCATGTCGGTGCGTCTGTGTAGTTGAAATTGATTTTCGCCGCCGGCATCCATCGCCAGTCCAAGGCCAAGAGATGTGCATCCAGTAATGGTAACTGCACAGGCCATCCATCTACTTGTTGTGATGCTGCTTTGTGTTTCACTCCAAAGTAATGCAGGTTTCATTGAAGCTAAAAGGAAAAATKTGAAAACTCAAGGTGTTTCTCATGATACTAATGCATCATAATGTTTTAAACACAACATTTGYATCCTTAATGTAAGACTGTTACTGAATCTTTGGCATTTTTATCTTTGCTCCTTACTCTCCAGTGTTGCATCTGCTAAWGTCAGGTCAGTCGGAGTATTTTCAAAAAATGTATTTATATATTTATTTGTCTTTGTCAGAAATATTTGTTTTAGCTTTGGTTTTAACTGAACAAAAAGAACCACTGCCTTAATATGGGAAGTTTTTTTGTTTTGTTTTGTTTTGTTTTCATTTTGCAAGTAATCCTGCTGTTAAACAAAAAATTGGCCCAGGGGTGTCCAAAGCCCCTCGCTTGATGACATGACTTCATGAAAAAAAAAAGAAAATTGGTAGAAATAAGCCAAAATAGCTCCTGTTTAAGGAAGACGATCAACACTAAACCAAAGATAAACTAGACACTGCATAGCGGTAACATAATGACCCCCGCACGCACAAATGCACCAGAACTCAGAAGTCTTTATTCCTAATAAATGTCATGCTAATAGGTGCATCCCAAAATTGTAGTGGTTTGGGTGGGGGTCTTTTTTTGTGTGTGGGTGTGGGTGACCTGATGGATAGCCCCTCATCAGAGCTAAACAGCAAAAGAAATCTGAAGCTCCTATGTTTAATAGTTTTTGAGCTATAACCATTTTTGTATGTCCAGATACCTCTTTTTCAGATAAATTGTGGGTCTGGGGGGCTCTGATTAGTTGTCCTGATGGATAGAGCTTCATCAGAGCTAAACAACAAAGGAAATGTGAAACTCCTGTGTTTAACAGTTTTTGAGTTATAAGCATTTTTTGCATGTCCAGACCCCACCCCCCCATTTGGATGGAGCCCCCTCTTTCAAATATGGGGTCTATCATAAACCCGTTTGCTGGCGCAGTGTAGGTCAAACTCATCTACAGTCCTGCAAAATTTCATGTTGATTGGTGCAGCCGTTTTTGCTCTACGGTTGACCAAAARTCACTGAAAAAAATAACCAGTACGAAAACAATATGACTCCCGCTAACGCTTCACGTGCGGGGGTCGTAATAAACATGGCAAACAAAAACTGTGGACTATTTTTAACAGAGAAAAGACAAAACAAAGACATCTTCGATGTCCACCATGGCAGCTGTTTTGTCTTCTGTATTTTTGATTCCYCACTGTGTTTCCATCACCTCGCATTCTGATTGGCTTCACGTCACATTCAACAGGCTGCGAGCTTGTTTGTCCTTGAGGAACACCACACACGCTGGGATATCGGGCCAAGACGGTCCAACAGGTTGCATATCCCCGATTTGAGATGGGAGCGGTCCGGATGTCCTTCCAAGCTGACTAGATCCCTTTTAACACAGCACACGTGGCAGAAATGTCTCATAAGATTAATTTTAGAGCCATCACAATAATCAGATTGTCCTTAAGATTGTCGAAAAGACAAAATCGGGCCAAAAATTGGAGTATTTATCTTGCCGCGTGAAGCTGGTGTTAGAGTTATCTGACAGCTACAATGGATTTCTCTGAAAAGCGGCTAATACTTGATGAAAAAGTCACAAATTCAATTGAAAACACCAACCGAAATTAAAATCCACTACTTGGAAGAAAAACAAGGTCAAGATGTTTGAACAACCTTCACTGGTTCTAGATGACAWCAGGTTTTTGAAGTGAGTGAAAAACAGGGAAACTCTTGAATGGTCACAGGGCCCACGGGCACCTACACTTTTATGTCCTGTGCCTTTTTTATCTTCAGTGCCACTTTACGCCCCATCCCTTTACCCGCAAATAACTGCCAAACAGCCTTTTAGATTAGATCTAATTTACTTTATAGCGCATAAAACTTCTGTAATCAAACTTGAAAGTTTCTTCATTCACTCAAAAATGCTTGATTAAACAGATGAAAGCTTATGTAACGTGAGGACAGGATGCTAATGCTTTTTATTTACTCCTTGTTTTTTCCTCCTCATGTGAGCAGTCTGTCAGAGATGCTAACTCAAGCGAGCTCATTTGCTCAGATCATATTACCCTCACTTAATTGTATCTGCCATGTTTACCATAGAAAGTAATTCTGTTTTAGTCTGGGTGCAGAAGAACGTTTTTTTTTTTGCCCGAGATGTTTGTGGGAAACGATGCAGCTTTTCATTGAAACAGTAAAACGTTATTCACTTTTTTCCCCCAGCTTTTTAAAATTAAAAACTGTTCATGTATTTTATTCAGAAGCTTAAAGCATTAATCTAATTAAGTTGTGGTTATGTCACTCATTTCAGTGACAGTTTCTTGTATGAAACCACTGCAAGGTAAAATGAACCACGTTCAGCAGCTGATTAGTCACTGCAAGTTTTTTGTCTGACCTCATGCAACATATTCAGGTCAATAAAACGATGAGCTTACTATTTATTTTAGTCAGCTTATTAACTCACCAGTTTTATTTCACTTTGCATTGTGGAGAGACTCCCCTCGAACTGCCAAAAGAGCATTTTTTTTAAGAAATGCATTTTTATTTGTTAAAAAATACTTCTAAAAATAGAATCTACTGCGATCTATCGGGTGCACTCTTGTTTATTTCGTGATTCATTTCAAGTGTTTGAATGTATGCATTGTCTTAATGTRTATGCGCATTATTTCGATCTGTTTATACAGTATATGTTACATTTTTAGCACTATTGTAAGTTTTATCTGTCCTGGATTCTGTAGTTACATCTGTAGTCTGCACATTTTTATCACCAGATGTGAATCTTATCGTTCTTTTTCCCCTCAACAGAGGCTCAGAACAGGATTCTCCTTGGCTTTAGTTTAACATTCAGGTGTCCTATAGCCTTTTCCTCAAGCCAGGGGGAAGTTRTTACACTTGCAGTCTGGTTGTATAAATCCCTTTATGTTAAAGTTCACAATACAGTAAATGTATTAAAGGTTTACTGCTACAGTACATATTCCATAACATTCGATTTGGACTGTCCTTGACTTTGCCTAGATACCACCTGGGCTTCATTACATCCTGGAAAAACCAGTTGCTGCAAAAACAGAAGCCAAACATTATATAACCTTCTTTTGTTTTATTTTTCAAATTAAATGTTTATCCAAAAGTATATTGAAAAGTAAATGTTGCTTTTTTAAAATGTCTCAAATACTGTTCAAATATCACTTGATGATATAATCTGTGACAGTAGACACTGATGTCTGTTTTGCAAAAAAAAATGTTACTGTTAAATGTTGAAATTGTCATATAAGAACTGTTTGTATGTGAAGCTTTGCACATTTTATTTTCTCAAAGTATTTATTTGACCGTTCCTTGTGTTATCTTTTTAATGGCGTTGTGGAATAAATGCATTAGAAGAAAGACTTGATTAAAAAAACACACACAGTATTGACTTTTCTGAATCCTGCAGTGTTTTTTTTATAGGATCTGACCTAAAACCTCATGAATTCTTTTTCTTTCAGCCACCTCAACAAGGAGTATCAGATCTGAATCACATGCTGTCATATTCCTGCATATAAATCCACTCCACTAATTCCCACTGCAGCAAAGGGACATGAGTTGTGATAACGKGGGGGTAAAACCTCAGGGGGTAAAACCTCCGTTTTTATTTTACTTAAACGAGCTGAGCACCAAATAAATCATGAAAAATGACTGGACAGTTTGGTTGCTCCACACGAGGAAAACTGATGTTTGTGAGCTAATAAAAATGTGTGTCTGCAAGGTGTTAGACTTGTCTACCTTATGTTACGTCCCACACTCTGAGACTTTCAAGGACAACACAGTCAGCACTGCAGGCTGCAGTATGGATGGTAAAATATTAAACCGGATACAGTAGATAATAGGAGTCTCTCTATGGTTTATAGATGAGTAGAATGAGGACATGCTGTGTGGTGAACCTGTTGGTGCCTTCACTGTAATCATTTCCTGACTTGGTTATGGTATTTATTAATAATAAGTTTTCTACAAGTCCAGCAGTGTATCTTCTAGTAACACCTTGTAATTCTCCCTGCGTCATACAGAGTGCCACATCTCATCCTCTCAAAGTACCGGCTGGCTTTGCAGCRATGTACTTCGGCTCTTTCAAAGTGAATCTTGCTCATAATGGACTCATCTCACCGCTGTCTCCCTGTCTTACTGTCCACCCATCCATCAGCTGATAGTTCAACATGTCTGCCTTTACAGTGGTGTGTTTTAATGATAGATGAGGCGAGCTAAAATAGTCCACCTGCTCGCGAAGTCTGTGATGTGCTGTTCTGCCTTTTCCTCGTCCATTTATTAATGGTAATGTCATCGAGGTGGGCAAGGAAAAGAACGTGCACTTTTTATGCCCGCTGAGTGCTCCAAACTTTGTGCAGATGTGTAGTAATTTCATTTAAGATGAGTGGTTCACAAGCTGACAACCAGAAGCCAGAACAGAGTTTTATCATGCTGTTGTCGGGTAAAATACARCAATATGGAGGTTAGGGAATCACACTCTGATATAGACCGACTTCTGTTTCTTGTTTTACAGTCGATGTTAGTAACGGAGTACCATCACTCAATGAAGCTCATCCTTTTGTCAGAAAATATTAAGGAATTGTAGAATCATGTTCACCATCTTCTGCCGTTTATCAATAGTCAGKTTGTAGAGGCAACAGGTCCCCAGAGACACTTTCCAGCTCATCCTGGGAGACCCTAAACCATGACGGTGAACAATCTTTGTTTTCAACTCCTTTGAAAGTTGTTTTGAGACTYCCATGCTGYCACTCTTCACAGAAGATGCAAAGAGGAGAAAAACTTACAACTGCCCCCCTAAAATACCCTTTCTCATAATTGCACGCTGAAGGTCTTTGCCCGAAGACGCCAACAGAACCACRTCATCTGCAGACGGCAGGCCCCGTCGTCCCCATAAACACAAACACTGTGTAGTGTTTATGTGAACATTTTTAACTGTAACTTGATGATGTGTATTTGTTAAAGAGTTGATATGTTTTTAAGCTTTAAAAGAATTTGAGGAAACACATCAGCTTCACTGGGTTTAACCTTTCTGGGGAAAGGAAAAAAATCCTTATATGTTTACAGTACCACCCCTGATCCTCTCAGTGCCATAATGGCATACTTACAAATCACAGCTAAACTGTTTGACAGTTTGCTAAGTGTTATTCCTTGTCATGCTGTGATCTATAATGTGAAAAGAACATTAGCATGAAGCTGTTTTTTCTCTTGTTGCCTGCAAGCTGACTTATAGACGGCTTGCTACAGCAGATGCTGTAATGAATAACTGTTTTTCCAAAACTAAATTAACCAGTATTTATACAACGTTGTACACTATCATAAATACAATCTAGACTTGTTTTGGTTTGAAACATGCATCTTACTTCAGTTCATCTCAGTCCCTAAAAGGCAA